CGAAGTATTACGATTTCCTTGGGTAACTTCAAGGAACAAATTAAATATCGTCCCCATTCACCTGTAACGTAATACTTTGCCTTATAGATAATCATTACTTATCTATCAATAAAAATTACGTAATGTAAATTGACGATCTATAATCTTATTTATGATGTGATATTTGATGTGATTATCGAGTGTATTAGTACATGTTATACTATAGATGAACCTATTTTTTTTAATTTAATAATTTCATTATTTTAGATTGATAATACATCAACGATTCAAAAGTTTATTGGATACCAAAAATATCAATTCAGTCAAAAGAGGCATCATTATATTTCAATTAGTTAGCATGCGAATATGGAATACCTTGAACAATTATTTCAAAATTATACATACTGTTCAAATGAAATTAACAGAAAGGTACATACATATATATTATTAAAACAAATGTTTATTTATTATAAATATCTAATATTAATTTAATTATAGAATTATACAAATAAATCTGTTAATAAATGTTTTACAGTTTTTCCAAATTCTTCTACAATGAGCCATTGTCGTAAGTATAATTATTTCAAATTAAGGTGCCCGAACTCATGCAAATTAAATTGCATTTTTAAAAATCTTTGATTATGCGAATTAAAAACAAATAGCAATAATAGTAACCAATTAAGCAGCCAAAATTTAGCAGATCGACCAAATTCAAAAGTCGGAATAGGTTCTGAGCTAGGCTGGCATTAGACAATAATATTAGAGAACTATACTATGGCAAATTATTATCTGGGCAGCTTTACTTTGTATATGGGTTACCAATTTAACAGTAAAATTTAAGTGATTTTGGAAGAAATTTGTCAATTTCACACCTATCCCAACCCTAAATTTTGGTCGACCTGCTAAGTTTTAGTTGCGCAGCTAATCTATTCTAAGCGATGATTACAATGCTAAACTACAAACTTTTTTTAATTGTTGGATGTCAAATCTTGATCAAACATTTTTATTATGTTGATATTAGTCAATTTGCATTAAAAATTAATTTATATTTTATCACGTAATAGCATATCTTCATAAAACAGATACACAAGTTATGAGAGGAAAATTGGTTAATAAAGGATCTTGTCCCATGAAATTTTATCATATATCGCCTAAAGATTTAACTAAATGCCTATTTATTGTAATAATCTCAATTGGTGTTCATAATCATCTACCTCCACCTTCAACTAAAACCCTATTTAATATAATCGAAAATTTGTGGAAGATTATTGAGAAAGAACATAATTTGAGTCTTACTACACGACAACTTCTTACAAGTAAGTATTGATATCATTATTTACAATATTTAATTCTATTTTAT